ACTATATCTTCATGTTCATAGACCATAAATATTTCATCACTACTTTGGTATTCTCGCAAATAATTATGTAACACTGCACAAGCTATGATAATTTTCACTTGTGTATCAATATCATAATGGTCCATGCCTTGTTTCAGTATTCTAAATCTATTTTTCCAAGCTCCAAAAGTCCGTTCAATCACATTGCGCAGAGATGAATGCCTATAATTAAGTAGTTCTTTGACATTTTGAGGCTCTCTTTCACTTCCTCGGTAATCTTGCAAATGATAGCATAGTCCTTTGTATGGAGCTAAAAATCCTTTTGTGTTTCGGAAACCAGCATCAACAACATAATATTTATCTACCAAAACCATTTTATAAAGAATTACTAAAAGCATATGTGACATAAATGAGACAGCTTTGTGTAAATAAATAATTTATTCTAAGGATGTAATTTAAAGTTACCATGTGGCGGAAATGGAAATTGTGACGTTGGTTCAACAAGTGCATTCTCAAGTACTTTACTATCATGTGCAGTACCTTACCAACCAGCAGTAACAAAGGTAAATCGCATATCAAAATCACAAGCACATAAGACATTTTGTGATGTTCTTCCTTTGCGATTACAATATGCTTGTTGCACCGCTTTAGGAACCTCCCCTTCTATATATGTTCCATCAATCGCACCAACACAATCCTACCAAATAAAAAATACATCAATATTAGTTTAGTGAACATAAAATAAATTGGAAGCATTATAGAATGCACTTCATAAAAATAATGTTTGTAAGAGTAATAAAAATAGTGCTTCCAAGACAATGCAAAGTCATAAAATAAATATTATCTCTTTAAACAAAGTTGATAGGAAATATGTAACTAAATACTAATAACTTACACATAAAATATAAATGTGCACTTATTAAGGCCATAAAATAAATTTATTAATGTGATTGAAATTTTACCTTAAACCAAGGCCAAAATCGAGTATTATGTCGAATTTTGGAATGTACACCAGTCATATTTTTTGGTTGTATAAATGTTGGTGCCATCTTGCCAATTGCCTCGGCAACTATTTTAACATGCCGGTTAATTGTTTCAAGTGAATGTTGGTGAGAATAATAAATTTTATGTCGGTGAGAATAATAAATTTTAAAAAGTAATGAGTGATTATAAATTTTATTTACATATGAAACAAATGGTTAGTAGATATAATGTGGGGGTTGTTTTAACAAAATATAATCTCATGGATCAATTATTGTATTAAAATATCTCAAATCATGATATGGAATTAATTTCATATCATGGTTTTTGGAGAATATAATATCACCTCTCATTATATGGAATCAACGTAAAATCGCATGTCCAAACGTTGATTCCATCTCACGATACCATATCGTGATATGGTATCGCATGGCCAAACGCCTACTTAGTTTCTCTCTTTGTAAATTGAGAAACTTGACCTCACGCTCCTCTAATTCCCACTTATTATTAGTACTATTTAAAAATAAAAATATTAAAATAAAAATAAATTTAAAAAATAAATACATATAATAAGTAGGAATTAGAGGAGACACAATTTTATAATGCATTTGTAAGAAGGTGGGCCAGCTTTGTGATAAAAAGGAACTAAAAACTATAAAAACTGGATAGTTTAAATATGTTTAACCCTTAATTCATATTCTCATTAAAGTGTATTTATACTATATATAATTGATAAAAAAAAATTATTTAGATAAAAATGAATTCTCTATTTTATTATGTTTATAGAATTCTCCAAACTCATTTTTAAGTAAGATTTGAGTTTGAAAGACTAATATTGTTTTAAAAAGTAGTTTTCAGTGTCATTTAAAGTTTCGAGTGTGGGAATGAAATTTTGTCGATTCCATCAGTTTATAAATGTGGAATCTGATCAGTGAGAGTTGTTGGTTTTAGATTTGGAGTCTTCTTGAGAATCTGAGACCCTAAATTGGAAATTGTTGAGAATTTAACCTTTGAGTTAACTTTAGTCAATATTCAGGGTTCAGATGCTCGGGCCTTGATTCCAAGAGTTCCATTGGTTTCGAGGGATGATTTTAGACCTAGGTGAGGTCTTGGTTAATTTTTGAGAGATCTGAATCTTGTTTTAGCCTTTCTAGGCGTTATATTAGTTTATTGTGGTCTTCACGTATGTCAGATTAAGGAGACCTCAGATTCGTATTTTAACGATTCCATTGAATCTGAAACATCGAGTATAATCGATTTGCATGTGTGGTTTGTGTGTACAGGGTTCCGAACAAATTATGAGGGTCCTTTCGATGATTTTGTGTTGGCCGATGTTTCTGGTACTGCATCCTTGCTCTTGCAGAGGGCCTTCGCTTTTACGAACTTCGATTTAGCGAAGATCGGCTCGCAAAAGTGAGACTAAGTTTTTGGGCGTGGTTCGCTTAAGCAAATCAGGGCTTGCTTTAGCGGTGCTCGCTTAAGCAAAGCCTGGTTCGCAAAAGCGAGACCCCCAATTTTTGCGGCATCCGCTTAAGTGACATAAGGGAGGGTTTTTTGTTTGAAAATTTCGAGGCTTAAGTCCCATTTTTCTATTTTTGAGCTTGGCAAAACCTTTGGTGGCGATTTTGAAAGGATTTCTTGTACTAAATCATTTGGGTAAGCTTTTGTAATCTTAGAACTTCATCTCCCTTTGATCATTTATGGATTTCAACAGTAAAATTTGAGATTTTGATTGACAAATGACAAGATTTTTCAAGAACTCAAGTTCTAAACTAAAATGGAGTTGTGAATTGATTTTAAGTCCTTTTTCGAAATGATTTTCACCAATAAGTTTCAACTGCATTGGGTAATGATTTCAAGTGAAGAATTTCAAATTCAAACTTCATTTTCAGAATTGGATTTTGCATATTGACTCATTTTTAAAAGTATATGAGTTGGGTATTGTTGTTTTCGGAAATTTATTGTGAATACTTGATTGATATAGATTGTGTGGCTTTAGACATTGGCCGAAAAAAGAAGACTCAAGTCTTGAAGTGACTAGTTGGTTAAATTAAGGCAAGTCATCTCCTAAACCTTGTAATTTAGTAGAATTCTTGTATTGCCTTCATTGTGTGCGTGTTAGGAGTAATGGGAATGTGGTGAGGGATTCATTGTTCCACTTGATAAATCGTAATGAATAAAAAGGGTATTAAAGAAAAGATTATGTGTTGATCATAATGTTTTGTGAATTGCCTTGTTGTGATCCTTATTTGATTGATTGATGAAGTGTTTGATAACATGAATGTGAACTTGAATTGCTTGAATCGTTGCCTCTTCCTTATAGTGTGAACTTGCTATGTTCATTGATTGTTGTACACCGTGATGAGACTTGTGATACGCAGCCGATGAGAAATGATTTCGGCTATAGAAATGATATAAAGCCGATGAGAAATGGTTCCGTCTAGTGAGATAATATAAAGTCGGTGGGAAGTGGTTCCGGCTAGTGATATGATATAAAGTCGATGGAAAATGGTTTTGCCTAGTGATATGATATAAAGCCGATGAGAAATTGTTCCGGCTAGTGATATGATATAAAGCCGGCGGAAATGGTTTCGGCTAGCGAAATGATATAAAACCGAGGGGAAATGGTTTAGACTAGTGATATAAAGTCGATTGGAAATGGTTTCGGCTAGTGATTTGATATAAAAGCCTATGGAAAATGGTTCCGACTAGTGATATTGTGTTGAAGGAAAATAGTTCTGGCAAGAGATTGATTATTGTGATTTGATGCTTATGTTTGACTTGTTAATTGTGATTGATGCACTTGTTATGTGTGATTGACTCTACTTGACATTGAGATTGACTTACTTGATACGTGTTGGTTGTGAAATTGTGACTATTGGACTGTGATTATTGAAACTTGTGAGTTGTGCACTCTAGAACTGTTAGGTTTGGCTAATTTATGTGCATGTTGTAGTTTTAGGAGGTTCGGTTTGGATGAAAGGAGTATTCATTTTCTAACTAAGTTGCTTGTTGAACACCATGTTGTTGGTACTCACCCCTTGCTTCTACACTTGTATAGGTTCCAAGCCCAATATCATGTGATCGCTCTCTCTCCCATCTTCGAGGCTTGTCAGAGAATTGTTGTGAGGTAGTTGTTTGTCATCCTGGCGGACCCTCTAGTTCTTCTTTTTATGCTTTATTCTATTTGAGAAACAAAGAGTTGAGATATGTACTTATTTATTAATTTTGCACTTATGTATTAGTGACTTGTACACGTGACAATCATGTTTTGGTGTGTTAATAGAAAGAATAAGTTTTCCGCCTTTATGTTGTTTTTGCATTATCTTTCCGTTTTTCTTTTATTTCATTGGATTGAGACTGACTTGGCTTGGTGAGAATAGACAAGTGACATCATGTTAATTTTTGGGTTCTGACAAATTATTACTAAAGTTCTCATACGAAAAAAAAATTGGCAAGTTATCTAATTTTATCCAAATTAGAAGATCCAAGGTTTTGCTAATTTATCAAAACTTGAGTAGCAACTTTTTAGCAGAGTTCAACCTAATCTTAACGTTATGGATTGATCAATATTGAGATTGGATATGTTTTTGTATACAATATTTTTATTGGCATAACACGCAGTTTAAGTATAAATTGAATGTGAATTGAGCTCACTTCAATTTCCGTTTCTTTATCCCTTTGAAATTTTGAAAAGTATAATCATATCCACTTTACACAAGTACTTAATAACCTCTTCTTAAAGTCAATTTTCCAATCCTTTTAACAAAGATGTCCAGAATTGAGGGCAACCCAATTTTTACCAGCAGCCAGATAGTTCTAAACTCTAATTATATTTCCTTGAGAGTTCAGACAGATTTTACATTGTTCTTATTCTTACGTGAAATGGTGCATATCTCAAGAAACTATTTTGCTTACGAAGCACAGAAATAAGAGGTTAATGTGCCAATATCAAGATAAAAACGCCACGATCCAAATTAGTTTTCGCTAAACCATTTTCCAATAGGGAAATCAGTTTGAAGAGAATTTTTTAACAGCCTAACATCACATGCATCAAAGAGAAGATGAAAATATTACTTCCCAGAAGTAGAAGAACCGTCTGCTCTGTTATCTGTAATATGTACACACTCCACTGCTCGTAATGGTGGAGGCTCATTAAACTTCAGTACGTAGGCAATGAAATGAACAGACTGCAACGGCATTATAACTTGAGCATCTAAATAGGCATTGCAGGAGAAACACCATACTGATAGATCACTGCTCCAGAAGGAAAAACAAATGGAAATCCATAAACATGTGTATCTTCAGCTCAAAGATGTGACGACTAAAATGATGAAAGATATTGACGTCTTGTCTCACAAAAGTTACCTAAAGCTGAGGGCTAAAGAGTGATCGGCCAGCTTGTAATGCTCGAGCAAGTGCTTATTAACAAATCGACTGCAAAGAACCTCCTTGCAACACAAACATAGCCAGTTCTCTACTGGATGTTGGCACCTTCAAAAAGTTTTTTGCACAATGTCACCAAATTGTTTTCCTTCCAACAAGAAATTCCATAACCATTTACAGCTAATTCTCACAGGCATAGTAGGTTTAATAACGAAGTCAAGCGAAGTAAATTAAAACCAGTCCTTCCTAGTCTGGAATAACTAGAAGCATCTATACAAATGGGTGGAAGTGTATCAGATCGCTAAATGCCTATGTGATATCTGAAAACCAAAGCAATGAATGGACTATTAATTCCAATATACAGACTTAAAAACTACAGAACTGAGAGTGGACTGACCAGCAAGTTCCGTAAGGACATACAGTAATGCGTTGAAATAGCACAATGCGAAACATATAATTTAGAACCAAAAGGATATTGATGTATAAAATTTACATTTCCTTCTTAAAAGATAAAGAGAAAGAAGTACTCTAAATATGTTTATTCAACCTTGAAATCAGTCCATTTTTATTCTCTTTTCATGTTTTTGAACTTCTCAAATTGGAACTTGCTAACTAAGTTGCTCGCTCTCCAAAAATGTTGTTGCACCTGTGTCGGATCCTTCAAAAATGCATTACTTTTGAAGGATCCAACACACGCCCGATGACATTTTTGATGAGTCCGGGTAACACAGCATGCTAACATTTCATACATTCTCTATTCCTTATATTTGGTGTAAATTAGTAACATCACCACAAAAAGAGAACTGATGTAAGGTCCTAGACACAAAGGAGTGTTTAGCGCCTACTATGGGGTGCTTGAAAGGGGAAAAAATACCACAACTGTTAAACATGATTGTTAATTCGTGATACTTTAATCTAGAAACAAGTTTTGAATAGCTAAACATTGAAAGTCTAAAAGAAATAAAATGCTTATTAGACTACTTATTGCATAAAACAATTAACACAAATTAATCTCATTACAAGCTCAAAAAAGAAGGAAATAAAATGAAACAAAGACAAATGTACCACTTGACAACTTAGTGTGCCAGGAAGTACAGTAATACCATACAATATAATATCATATGTACGGGTCTCTAGGAGTTTGCAAAGGAGAAGAAAATATAGGGCTGTAACAAGATGAACCTGTTGCAAGGAGTATCAGGAGTTGGAATATGGGTGAGATCAGATGACAAAGAAGCCAGGTGATCACAGTGAGTTTTGGCCTCAACCCAACCTGATTCGGACCCGTATAGCATCAATATCTCATCTTCTTCATCAATAGGAAGTAAAGACAATGAAGAAGTTCCAGTTGCCATGGATCTGGATTGATGAAATACGATTATGTTAGCCACATTTGACAAATTTAACTAAGGGACAGCATAATTTTGCATCAGCTATAGAAGACTTTGAAATGCTATTTCAATGAAATCTGAACAGAAAAGAAGACTCGGAAATTATCAATCAATTGTCTGAATCTTTTTAGGGAAAAGAAGAGCATCTCACTTAAGAGTTGAATGACATGAAAAAAAAGAAGAGGAGCATGTAACACAGCACCAGACTGCAGCAAAGTAAAGTTAAGCACTCTAAAACAAGTAAAGTGGAACAGGCAAGAAAAAAATATGACACCAAAAGATATAAGAAATATATTATATGATATCGATTTTGGTAAAACAGAAAGAGTAAATCCAACAAAAGTTGATAACAAGATAAACAAACAAAAAGGTAAAGAAGAGTTAAGATTTAGAAAGCTAAACGATAGATTTCAAGCCCACATACAAAAGCATTACTTCCAACTCAACAACAACATATCCCGTGAAATCCCATAAGTGGGTATGGGAAGGGTAGAATGTACACAGACCATACCCTACCTCAGATTTCGAGAGGACCCTCGGCTCAAGTACAACATATCAAAATAATGAAAAAGGGAAAACAGAAACAAAGCAACTAATTAGGAAAAGTAACAACCACAAACTAATGCGATAACCTAAACACAATCAACAAGTGATAGTGTAATCAAAAGCAAGACACTATAAGAAAACGGTTAAACCCTTAGAAAAGCATTACTGGCAATGATGCCAACAAGCGTAAGAAGTATTGCACATCAAAGTAAAGATACCTATTGCTAAGGTTTTGGGTTCTATCAGAAGATGGAATCAGCTACAATCCACTGTATCCCTTCAGAATTTCAGGCACACTTGTTAACAAACAAATTAGAGATCGGTTTAAACTCCCACGATGATGATTAAAAAGAATTTCTTCGAGAAACCAAAAACGATTTTGTCGATAAGTAATTGGGGATTTTGATACCTGAAAGGCAGGAACGAAGTTGAAATAGGGATCCACTGATATTGGATACAAAAATAGCGACTTCCGCTCCTATAAATGGACCACTTTTAAGGGTTTTTAAGATCAATGACTATATAACTTTTTTTTTTGGTTTTCCACCCGGTATTCGGAATCCACATTGGAGCTCCGACTAAATCCGAATTGTACACTGCAGGGCCTATTCAGAGATGGCGCTACCAACAAAGTCTCACCGCTATACCACAACTCATGTTGGACTACATAACTTGCTCGAACACTTGGGATTAGTTTTTGTACCCAAACTTTTTTATAAATGTATTCCATAAAAAGTAATTAGGGACCGATGGAGTACTCAGTTAATAGTTTGATTAAAACATGTCTTTTATCGTCAATAGTTTGAATAAAAAAAAGAAATAGATCAAAATTATCCTTTTTTTTCAAATAAATATATTATTTATTTCTTGTTTATTATTAAATGCTTATTTTACTTCAATTCGAAAAAGATAAAGAAATAAAAATATTTTCTATTTATTACGAAATTTTCTTATCATTATCTAAGTGAAAATTTATGATGGAGCTACTATGATCTTTGAAGGGTGTTTTAAAAGGCGGGGTCGCGAGACGAGTCATTTTATGTAGTACGGGACGAGGCATAGGTCACATGGATCTACAGGGCCCATTAGTGCCTATGAATGAGTTCCAAGAAAGCGGCCATTCACGTCAAGAATAGAGGCGTACATCTCATGTGAATTCAATTTTATAATTTTATTACTAAGAAAATAAGCAAAAGTAAAACTTTAAATGATTTTACAAATAAATTATAATAAATAACCAATAACATAGAAAAAAAAATATTATAATTTGTTAAAAAATAATATATTGTGGATGTCCACTACATCAAGAAGTTACTTCATTACGAAGATAACCATAACCTCCATAACCTCCACCTTTATAACCATTATTCTTGTAACCTTTCACTTCCATAACCTCCCCATTATATCCATGTTAATGTCATGTTTATGACTAACCTTTTGTATGCCTCTATGTTACACTATAAATAGAGGCATAAGGGTTCATATTGTATACACTTGAAGACTTGGAATAATAAGAAAAGCTCTCATCTCTTGTCTACCTATTTCTATTACTTTCATCTTCTATATTTCTTGTCTTATTTTTCTTTAGTTTTATAACACGTTATCAGCACGAGTTGCTCATTCTCCGTCAAGAATCAATGGTAGGTGATTTTCCTAGTAATTTTTCTGTTGCATGGTATACTTCATATCCTATATATTATTTTATTATTTGTACTAACAAAGCTTATTTTGTGGTTATTTTAAAATGGTTAGTAAATTATGATAATCTTCATAACAATGTTGAGAGGGATTATTAAAATGTTTTAATTTATTTTAACTTGGGGCTTTTATAAGATTCTAACATGTTGTTCTAATTAATTGATTTTGTTCATTTTTCTTGTACTTTAAGTCAAATTCAAATTATATTTATGGTTTTCGGTAATTATTTTCTTGGTAACGTATTTGGTTTATCAAGACATTGATTGAGGGTAAGACGGTGAATTCAAGTTTCACCGCACCAAGTGGGTAAGACACAAAGTTAAAGTCTCGGTGCACCATGATAATAAGAAGTTGGGTTTAAGTCCCATTGATTTATGACCAAAGACGTTTTCATATGGGTAAGACATTGGGTTTAAGTCCTAATGCACTATAGTGATGATACGATGGTGACTAACATAAGTTGTATACTTTTGACTGAAAGTCATAAAATTTGCCCAATTAATTTGCTTCATTCCCTTATGTGAATGTGGTAGCAGTGCATAATATGTCTGAAAAATGACAAGTGGTTGAATGTATGAATATGAGTGTGGTAAAATGTTAATGGTCGTCATTGTGGTAATTAAAAGGAAGAACATTATGGGTTCTTAAGATGTTCCTTCAAATGTAAAGATAATTTTGTCCATTAAAGTGGTATAAAAGGTTATTGGACACATTGTTTCTTAAGATGGTCCTTCAAATGTGAAGGTAATTGTTAAAGCTAATTTTTATCCATCAAAGTGGTATGAGAAGTTATTGGGCACATTGTTGTTGGTGCAACCCAATCAAAATAAAGGAATACAAAGTGGTAGTACAATTGGTACATTTGACCTCTTAAAGTGATGTTGAGGTGAACCACATAAATTTGATAATGTCAAAGCATGACAATGAGTTTCTAATAAAAACTTATGGAGAATGTACAAATGGTTATAGTCCATTTCTTGAAGAAAATGTGACTTGTGTTCGTATGGATAAGAACATGTTCATGTATTGTTGGATGAATGTCACATCTCACTTCTACGGGAGGTTTGAGAGATTGAAAGGAAATATTTTGACATAAATGGTCATTTTGGTCATATACTTTGAGTACTACACAAATATTGTGGTATGTTTTATTATGAACTATTGGAGGACAAAAGAAAGAAATAAATATTTTCTATAAAGGTTGTGGCTATGATCAAAATAAATGTTGTTGTGTGGCAACACAAATTTGTCATTGATTGTCAAGAAATAAGTCTTGCATATAATAATTTTAACCATGACAATAATAATAATTTTCTCCTTGAAGGAGATGGTCACCATAAAAATGGTGTTGTGAAATTTATGGTAGTACACAAAATTAATTGAGAGTTCTGAAAGAGCTGATTTGTTACTACCCGAAATGAAATTGTTCATAATATTAGGATTGTAGTAAGTCTCAAAAGAAACTTTTTAAGTTTCGGAGGAATTGAAAATTATTATATTGAGACTATAAATTATTGAAAGATATCTTCAGATTACTACAATCAAAGCGGGTTATGAATATTTACACAAAAGGTTACCCACCTTTCTCTTGTTTGTTGAATAAAAATATGAGCATGATGAAGGAATCACATGCAAAAGTAAACTAAAAGTTTACTAGAATAAATATCAGTTGGTATAACCGGTTGGCCATTCCGGTTCAGAGTGATGCAAAAGAAGTTGAGAATTCACGTGGCTATATGTTTGAAGAAATAAAAGATTCTTCAAGATTCTCTTTTGTTGCTTGTTCTCATGACAAAATGATAATTGTATCAACTAAGGTTGGGATTGTATCCCCTGAAATTATTTGGAACATATAGAAAGGTGAATATGGGCCCGTTCACCTGTCATGTGAACCGTTTACTATTATGATTTAATAGATGTATCTATGGTATGGTCACATGTGCATTTGTGTCAACTTACAAATTGGTTTTTGTAAGGTTGTTTGCTCGAATTGTTAAATTAAGAGCACGGTTCCAAACTATAAAATTATGTTGATAATGTTGGTTGGTTTAGCAGAAATTGTATGCCTCCAATTATAGCTAGACCAATGATTATGAGAACAAATCTCTCAAATAAAATTTGATATGAGATGAGTTTATTTAACGTGTATGCATCAAGCCAACAAGGTTCTCCCATCACAATTGGTTCAGGGTCAGGAACCAAATAATTTCCATCTAAAAATTTTATGTGTGCACGTATGATTTTATTGTTCCACCACGCACAAAGATGGATCCCCAAATGAGGTTGGGGGTGAATGTTAGATTTCCTAACATTAAGGGGGAGATATGTTTAGCAGTTGAAATTATGCGTGGGGTAATTATCTAGATCCTCGACAAAAAAAATGTGAACTTGAAATTCAAGAGACAATTCATTTGCGAAATGTTGCAAAGAACTTGCCATATGTATTTGCTAACCCAATATTTTAATTAAGTTGCAAATGCTCCAATAAATAGTCCTTGAAGGACAGAGTCTATAGTACGCCAGAAGCGTAATAGACCAATCGATTTCAAACGTAAACCTCCTTGAGGAAGGAGAGGAGCAAATTATCAAAATGGTCATGATAATGAGGTAAGTGCTTTGAAAGAGCACTATGACATAACACTTCATAAAACCTTGACAAAGGTTCAGGTACCTGAAAATGATGAAAAATGAAGAGATCTCGATAAGTTATATCGTATTGGAATCGAGTCAAATGACCGTCGATGGTATCTTTGATATGAAGTAGCACTTAATGCTATAAGTGGTACGAGGATCTTAAATTCAAATATGTCATATAATGTGGACAGATAAATGATTGGCCAAATAAAATGCACTATTCAAGTATATTTTGTTTCACTTAGAAAAGTGATGTTTTTGAACTTATAGTTCATAGATCAAAATATATGTCAGTGGGGTACAAATGAATCATTATGCGAAAGTATAACCATAAGATATAAAGTATTGTTTGTGACTCGGAGAATAAAGGGTTTTCGCAAAAGTCCTGACATTACTAAATGGAGATATGTTCTCCAGTGGTGGATGCAATGAGACTTATTTCAATATGGCAATAGATGAAATACTTGAATATGTATAATGACTGATTATCATGTCTAACTAGACGATGAAGGCTTTATGAAAATTCTTGAAGGATTTAAAAGGTCTTAAAACAATTCCATTAAGTACCCAATGGTTCTTAAATTGCTTAACACAGAGAAAGAATCTTTTCAACCTCATGAAAATGATTGAAAATGTCATGTATTAATTGAATTGGTGCACTTACAGATTGTTGGTTATGCAAATGCTAGAAGATTATTTGATATATATATAAAAAAAAGTTATGTGAGGGGATTGTCATATTATCATTCAAGTTATGCCAAGAAACTAACAAAGCAAGTGACTCAACACATAGAAGATGTGTTATTTTCTTTGAGAAGAAAAGACGAGCAACGTATAAAATTGAAATGATCAATCTCTGAGTTAGAAATGATTTGATTATGTAGATGCAGAATATCTATTTGATATGCATAAAGCTCGATCGCAAAAGAGCTATTTGTTTGCATATGGAGGCACAACAATATCTTGGCATTCAAAGAATCAAATATTGGTAACCACTTCTTCAAATCATACATAAATAATATTGATCTATGAAGTAAGTCGGGAGTGTGTATGGTTGAAATCATGATCTATCATATTCAGAAAATATGTGATTTTCCTTTGGCAAAGGATATTCTAACCACCATATACGGAAATAATATATAGCTCGATTGAAAGGAGGACACAATCAAAGGAGGTCGGACAAAGCATACTTCACCAAAAGTATTTTTCACACATGATCTTCAACAAAATGGTGAGATAGACGTTCAAAGACACATTCTAGTGATAATCTTGTAAACTTATTGACTAAGGATTGCCAACATCAATATTTGAGAAGTTGTGATATAAGATTGGAATGCATCGTCTCCGAGATATCAAGTAAAGTTTTTATCAGGGGGAGAAAAATACGCGTTGTACTCTTGTCCTTAACCATGGTTTTATCCCAATTGGGTTTTCCTGGTAAGGTTTTTAACGAGGCAACATTCAAAGCGTATTAAAAGATACGTGTACTTTTTTTCCTTCACTAGGATTTTTTCCCACGGGGTTTTTTCCTAGTAAGGTTTTAACGAGGCATATTATCTATGGACATCCAAGGGGGAGTGTTATAAAATAATATATTGTGGATGTCCACTACATCAAGAAGTTACTCCATTACGAAGATAACCATAACCTCCATAACCTCCACCTTTATAACCATTATTCTTGTAACCTTTCACTTCCATAACCTCCCCATTATATTCATGTTAATGTCATGTTTATGACTAACCTTTTGTATGCCTCTATGTTACACTATAAATAGAGGCATAAGGGTTCATATTGTATACACTTGAAGACTTGGAATAATAAGAAAAGCTCTCATCTCTTGTCTACCTATTTCTATTACTTTCATCTTCTATATTTCTTGTCTTATTTTGCTTTAGTTTTATAACATAATTATTATTTGAGAAAGGTATTAATAACCAATAATATAAAAAATATATATATTATATTTACTATTTGAGAAATGTAACAACTAATAAAACAAAAATGATAATAGTCAAAATAATCTTTAAATTGAAATCATCATCCATCTTCACATTTAATTACTGGTCCTTCCCGGTCCATCATCGTCATTAGCTATCAGTATCATTCCACTACTAATTATCAGTTGTCGCCACCAACAACCACGATTAATCACTACGGCCAATCACTATACCATAAGATACTACCCACAACCTCCATCAATTAACATCATTTCAAATCGACACACACAATCACCATAATCAATCATCACCGCCACCAATTGTCATATAGAATTTAAAAAATATTTTCTTGATATAGTATTAGATCAATTTATTGTTTATTTGAATTTTATATTATTCTTTTTAAAAAATACAAATTTTATATGTCAAATATTGAGAAAATAAATAGCCCTAACTAAGTATTCAGATCTTTATGGAACATCTTAATATTCAGATGTACATTTAGATTCAAATGTCTTAATCTTAATGAAAACAAATGAGGTCTAAGTCTGTGTATTTTTTAGGTTTGAATTTTAATCATTCATATTTTAACTATTATGTAGTTTTCTCACGTTACAACCACTTAATGAGTTTGAATAGATTTGAATTATTAAGATCTATAACAAAGTAATATTATTAAGATATCTACTTAAGAATTAAGTTCTACAAAGATGCAAGTTCCCCAATTTTATTTATTCACCGCTACTATCATTGCCCACCATAATCAATAACTACCACTCACTACCACTATCCACATACACAATCACCACCGATGTAAATCACTATAATCAGCTATCACCACCACTAGCCACTATTTCAATCATCAACCATCACTACCATAACAACCAACAATCACTACTAAAAATCCCCACCCTGGATCTTCACTATGTATTTTCAACCATTGATATAATTCATCATCACTATTAGTTATCACTATTAGTCCACCACAACTATCATCCGTCACCATCACCTGCTATAGTCAACCATCACCATCAACTAGTCACTGTAAGTCTTGGAGAAGATCTCACTTTCTCTGCTCATTCAATTGTAACATGCACGTACATATTAAATAGATACATAGGGGATAGACTCCTAATATAATAAGAAGTCTAGAAGCAGAGGAAATAAACTACTAATGATATAAGGTTGCTATCTTGGAGATATCCTAACAGTCGCAACATCACCATTCCTGACACTAACAACCACCACCACCACCATATAATTTTTTAAAAATATTTTGTTAATTTTAATTTTCAATTAATTAAGTATTTTATTGACTTTTATATTTAATCTTTTTTTAAGTAACCCCACTTGTGGGACTACACGGGGTATATTGTTGTTGTTGTTGTATTCAATTTCAAATAAAGACAATTTTTATATATTCAGATATTAAAAAGAACAATCTTAATTATTTAGTATTCAGGTCTTAATACACCATCTTTATAATTCAGATGTGTATTCAGATTCAAACACCTAAATCATAATGCACATTTTAAACTTAAATGTGTATTCAGATTCAGACATCTTAATTTTAATGAAAACAAATAAGAACTAAGATGACTATAGTTTTTGACATGCTAAAGTCATTTAAGGAAAACTCTAGTCTAGGAGGAAAAAAGAAAGAAAGAAAGAATTCCCAGAAAAGAAAAGACCCACCAATACTAGTGACTACATTTTCTGGTACTAAGTTAGGATCAAGAAACTGAATATCTTCCTTTTCTTGAAGGTGTGTACTTAGCTTCTTCCAAGCTGTCAGATGAATCTGAGCCACTATTTTCCCCTTGTTTCCTGCCTTTGCTTGACCAAATTTTTGTAAAGATCTTCTTTGATGAAAGTATACTTTTCATTCTACCATTGGCAGCCTTGTCAACGTGACGTTTGGTATCGCCATTTAGTCCTCCATTTGCCAATCTTAAGGCTGCCAGCTCTTCTTTCAAAGCCCTCAGTTCTTCTGCAGAGGCTGTAACCTCCGAGTTCTCTGTATTTGTTGTCGCTGACCTTGAGCTCGCATATGAAGCACTAGTGAGGTTTCTAATAGCTTTGGGAAGATCCGGAGTGCTGCTCCCCGATGATGCATTGGCCCTGACTTGCTCAAAGAAGAGAACTTGTACGACAACACGTGATGGAAGTCTCTCGTTTTGCACGGCATGTGTACATGCATCAACTGAGAGCTTCTTGCAATCCATCAGACAGCAAATTCTCTTTCTGTCATTCTTGCTGATCCCAGGGTGCTCCTACAACACCACAAGAAGATCAATAAGTAAATTTGCTAGCATTCATTAGTTGAGAGTAGGAACTTTCTGCACTAGTTTCCACTACCGATAATGTATGTGACACGTGCAATATTAGACTATTTTACGAAAGGTCATACCTTAAAAGTATGTATTACTTGAATGACTTTATTGTTAATTATTCAAGTAATACAGTAATGTCATTTCTTTTGTAATCGAAAAAGTTCCATAGATTAGTTCAACAGATTCTCACCTTGAGGTATATATCAATTGCCCGATAAAGGCTGTCATGACTAGGGCGAGGGAAATCTGTTACCATCTCTGCTAGACCAACAAATGTCGACAAAGGAAGATTAGGATCCTTGGCAATTTCTGTAAGGTATCCATCTACTAGCTTCGCCACCATGAGCTTTGAAGCTTCTGATAAAACCCCTGGAATTTCATTACCATCTTCAAACTGAGTTTTCAAATCCTTATTATGCACAACAAAGTTCTCTAGTATCTTGTGGAAGACATGGACATCATACATTGTTGCTTCCCCGTCTGTAGCTCGAATCAAAAGACCATTGACAGAAGCCTCCTCCAGTTGCTGCCCTATTCTTTTTACTAGCTCTGCCTTTACTTTTTCTCCAGAATCTACAGAAATGGATGCTTTTAGCAATTTCAACAAGAAACTACAAGAGACACTACCTTTTTCAGCAGGTAATAGACATACAACCGTATCCAATATTGAGCGCGATCTGGACACATCACTGAACTGGCAAACACCCTTGCTAAAGCCCGGGAACCTTCTCAAAGTATAAGCTTTAATAGCTTCTCCAATCACTTCAGAGGAAACAATCCCTTTGTTCTTTATGTTGACCATAACCCGTTTATAAAGATCTATTTCAAGTTCACATAAGTCATCAACCCACCAATCATTTGGCACGACACGGCTTCTAATTCCATTCGAGTTAGGACCATTTCCATTTTCCTCTGGTATCTTGGTCCGGTTATAGGTATAAGACCAATCAACCTTGCGAACATCAATAGACGTCTTGGATGCTATAGCATCAGTACAGTGGCTGATCAACTTTACTTCCTCACACAGATGTAACCTAGATTTAGTGGTCTGAAGAAATATTATCGAATCTTTCCAGCTTCGGAAAATGGTCGAGTGTAAGAAAACATCAATCTTGTAAATAAGATTTCCTTTCTCAACAGTCTCATCCATTCCAAGATACTCTGCAGCGCACCTTGCTGCTATGACATTATAAGCATTCAGTGTAACGGTCATACCGTAACAAAACTTGACACACATTTCAAAGGCAGTAGGTCCTCCCGGAACGTCATGAATGTGAACTTCATCACCATCTCCTTCACTTGAGTTTGCAACCAGCTTTTGCAAATGAGCACTCTTGGATAGAAGAGGAAACTGCAATTTTCATCGATTACAAGTATCAGGAAATACTAAACTAACCCACCCTTCACTACAATTGAAAAAGAAATACTAAAGTATGCTCAGTTATTTCATTCTTTTCTTAAGAAGAAGGTAGCATATATTAATTGTCAGATAGTAGTACCTTATGCAGATGAAACTTAACGTCTCCTACACTAACAACGATGTCAGAATCCAACTCTGAAGCAACATATCTGCATTAACGGAAATATTATTGATGGGTACTTGTTTAAACAGAGAAAAAACACAAACATTCACCAGGCTATTGTGAGTGATGAAAAGACATAGATAGATAGACTTCACAGATATGGCTTAACCATGTCAAGATATTGTCCATTCTGAGCCTAAACTCCCACAATTTTAAAGCGCATCATTAGTTTGTAAGGCCTACTTACTAATATACTCAACATCTCTACTATGTTTTATTGATGTGAGACTTCTTATCCTAAATTGGGGTGTTACACAAGCTCTAAGAAGGTACTTCATATGGAAAAATGAAACCATCAAAAGACAGCTAAGCAATTGGAATGCGAGATTTCTTATGACTGAATAAAAGTACATTAACCCTACCAAAGAGTTAATCTCTGGAACAAAACACATCCGTATACTCAGATACACACAACAACAATATACCCCATGTAATCCCACGAGTGGAGTTGGTATGTATGCAACCTTACGTCCTTGTACCTCTCCCTCGTGAAAGTTGTTTCAGATGGACGCTCAGCTCAAGTAAAGCATATCAAAACAGTATGAAAAGAAAATACAAAACCTTGCTTCAATTGAACAAACATAGCATGATTGACACAAGATAAATGCAAAAGGGGATAAGCAAATAAGTTAAATTTGTGTTAATATAACACCAGAAACAGTTTTTTCCACAATAAAACTACTCTGAATAATCACAACAAGAAAAAAGTGGTGAATAAAACTTTGAAGAACTAAGCACTTGATCTGACCTGACATTTTTCCCATCTGACTGAAATGTATCTGGTTTGGATCCAAGTTTCATAAACTTCATTTTTGGCAACTTAATCTTCTCCTAAACACTAGCTTGAGTTCATAACCTTATATCCCCAATGACCAAAATTACTCAGATATGGAGAATGAAGGAAAATTAACAGGATCTCAAATATGAGTAGGATATATATATAGGCATAATACATAATGCCTTTTAAACTTCTATAAAGTTGAGCAAGTAAACACTTGCATTCTACGTAGCATAATACACGTTGAACGTCATGTAGGATGTCATGTAAGACGTGAATTACTATGTAAGACGTAAAGTAACATGTGTGTCGATCTATTTGTTCAATTCTATACAAGTTTAATGTCTACTTATAAACATTCAAAATTAGAGGATATAAATAGAAACCAAATTAAAGAGCATGCTTGTGTATTATATATTCCCTTTGTCTCAGTTTATATGACTCACTTTCCTTTTTAGTTAGTTTAAAAAAACGACACGTTTCTATATTACGTAGAAATTTAACTTTTAAATGTCTATTTTATCTTTAATGAAATAACTTATAGTCATATAAATTTTAATTTTTTTTATTTTTAAAATTTTGTGTCAAGTCAAACTAACGTCATATTAAATTGGGCGGAGGAATACTTCATAACCCCCAAATCTTGTCAGAAACTATGTGAGAGAGGAAGGAGAGAAGAAATGGTTAAGTGAAGAAATTGCTTCCTTGGTTGGCTGGAAAGCCCATAGAGCCCGGGGGCAACCACTTACCATAGGAGACATAACCAACTCATTACATTATTCTCCAATATAAGGCATAATATATAAATATATTTTTTAATTTAACCTTATATCATATTTATGTTTTTTAATTTTGGTGTATACAAGTAGATATTTAAACTTATATAAAGTTAAATAAATAGATACATGCGTCATATGCGGGATCCTACATGGTAATTTACATCTTACGTAGTGTGCTATATATATTATGTCATGTAGGACTGATGTGTTTACTTATTCAATTTTATATATTAACTTAAGTCTTAAAGTATCTAATTGTCTGCATCCAAATTAGAGAGCATAAATATGAAATGAAATCAAATTAAACGACACGTTTATATATTATGCCTAAATATAATCTAGTAATGTAAAAAAAAAGTATATATATTTTTCAGGAAAGTGCTAAATGGCAAGAAAATTTAGCCAAAATTTGGCCAGAAAATTTAAAAAATTATAATATTTTTTTTATCTTAAAATAAACTGATCTTTTTTTCATTTTTAATTAAAAGCTACTAAAGTTAAAAGGATAAAAATATTTAAAAAGATAAAATAACATAAATAAAATATCACTCTGACCAAATTTTCTAGTCAAAAAGATTTTTCCTATTTTCCATCTAAAGTTGGGAGCTTGCCAATATAAAACACCATCTTGGTATGAGTTAAAGGTGGCACCAAAAAGGTAGACAAAAAGGATCTATAAAAATAAAAGAAATTTATTTAGTGGACATTATTCAAAGGAACAAGTAAAAGAGGATCTAGCAGACAAAAGAATCACCTCACAAAACAGAAATCAAGACAGTTAATTAAATATCAACAACTAAAAACCTCATCATGCCAGGGTATCCAAGGAAACTCAAAACACAACCTCTCCCTTTATACATAATTATATTTTCCATAAAAGTAAATTAACATGATATATATTCATGGGTAATAATACAGTGACAATACTCCCTCCCTTCCAAAATTGGCATAATACATAAATACGTCATTAATTTATCCTCATTTCATATTTATCCTTCCAACTTTTGATGTGCATAAATAGACATTAAAATTTGTATAAAGTTGAACAAGTAGACAAATGAGTATACATGTAGGACACAAATTGTCATGTAGAATGTCACGCAGTATGTGTGTCGATTTATTCAGCTTTATAATAATTAAAGTGTCTTATTTATGCACACCCAAAGTTGGAGGATATAAATATGATTTGAAACCAAGTTAAAAGACATATTTATTTATTATGCCTTGAAATTAAATAAATTGATCTTTGAAGAAATTTAGTTAATGACATTAATAAAAGAGTAATTTATCAATATTATCCTTTTATTCTTCCCAAACTATTTTTAAAACTAAAGATAGTTGAAAACTTTATTAAAGAGAAGAATAATTTTGGAGAAAAATAATTAATACATCTTTGAATTTTGAAAAATTCTCTCACGGCTCACATTGAGTCATATCAACAAATCATAAATTTATTTATTTTGGATTGAAGGGAGTATTAACAAATTAAAAAACTTATGATACAGTGAAAAGCAATGCGTGTAATTAAAATCTCACTGATTGGCCTAGGAGCTGCCACATTATATATTAATGGTCTATTGGACCTTAACTTATTATATCAATAGAGAAAAAACAAGTTAAAAAAGGCAGTGTCATTTGAGATATTAATTAATCATTCAACTTAATGTATAAAATGCAAAGTTTAGAGGAATAACATCAAATTAAAGACCCACGTGCATAAAATCTGTAAAAAAAAAAGACCATGCAAAGTTGCAAACCAACAAAGCTAGGGAAAAGACATAAAATTCCCTCGAATTTGGCACGAAAATTTACTTTAGTACTTAAATTACACGGGTGTTTATATACCCCTAATTTAATTTGAATTGAATTTAATTACCCCTTAAAGAGTGACGTGGCAAAATTTGTATCACCAACTTTTCATAAGCGCGTGAGAAAGGAAAAGACACCAAAAAACTGACACATGTCATCTTTTTATTGGATAACATACTTAATAACTTATTTTACTAATTTTTAAATATTTTATTTTGAATTAACTTTTCTCTCTCTATATTTCTTTTTATGCATCTTCTTCTTCATTTTTTTTTTCCATTTTTGTTCTTTTTCTGCATCTTCTTCTTCATTTTTTTTTCTCTTCTCATAACTCTTTCTCTTTTTTATTCTTTTCATTTAGTTCAAGTAAACATTTATTTCCAAATATAACTTCTTCCACATTTCTTCTTCTTTTTTTCTTTTCTATTTTTAATCGTTTTTTTTCTTTTTTTTACAAAACTTTTTATGTTTGATTCACCCGCCATTTTTGACATCAAAGAATATTATTAGATCTATCAGTTTAAAGGGTTATCAGAATGAAGTTGACTTCCATTAAAAAAAGTCAAAGATATTGTTGGCAAAAGATTAATTATGGAGATTTCGCCCAATTCATTAATAATTTTTCATTTTTATGCAAGTAATTTTTAAATTTTTGAGGAAGGTGGTATCGTATAACTAAACTGAAAATGCAATTGAAATTTGAATTATAGTTTGTATATTGAGGAGTAAATTCATTGATGGGTTTAATTTTTGGCCCAATATTTAAAAAAATAATTATTATTATGGAGATTTAAGCAATTAATTAGGAATTTTGTTAATGTACACGTGGACGAATGAAAACGTGTGTGACTCAACAACACTCAGCCTTCAACTGAGCTAGTGATGAGAGAGTTGAAAAAAATCACTTAAAAGATGTTAAGGGGGTATATAAACACACGTGTAGTTTAAGTACTAAAGTAAGTTTTCGTGCCAAGTTCAAAGTTTTTTTTTTTATGTATTTTCCCACAAAGCTACATTAATACTGTGATTAATTATGTCATCAAGAATGAGTTGTATCCCATTTTCTGCAATTTGAGGCAAGTCACAAAAGCATACAAGCCCAAAACCCAATATTATCACTTAGAAAACTTTTTGGTATCATAATATTTTTTTTTAGGGAAAAGGCTCAAATATGCCATCGAACTTTTAAAAAAGACTTATTTATGTTATCCGTTAAAAGTTTGGCTCATCTATGCTATTACTGTTTAAGAAAAAGGTTCATTCATGCCATTATTTTTTAACAGTGGTTTTGCAAAACCATTTTTTACATAGTGGTAATGTCTTTACTTGGATGAGTTATTTTAATTCAATTTTTGTTCAGAATTTTGAATTTTTTTTATAAAAAATAATAATGACATGACCGAATTATAATTTGCCACGTGTCAAAAATGGTTTTGCAAAACCACTGTTAAAAAATAGTGGCATGAATAAGCCTTTTCTTAAACGGTAATGGCATAGATGAGTCAAACTTTTAACGGATGACATAAATGAACCTTTTCTAAAAGTTCAATGGCATATTTGAGCCTTTTCCCTTTTTTTTTATAAGACACAAGTAATATGACATTTTGTATAACATTTTTATTTTTTTACTTATAAAGATAAACACAAGTAATGGGTATATAAGTAAACAGACATTACCAACTAGTGATGCATTTAAAAGCGGTGCGAGCTAGGCCCAAAGCAGATAATATCACTAGCAGGCTGGGCTGTTACCGGGGAGGGAGGGTAATAGGACATTAGTTTAGTTAATGTGTCTCTAGAATTTCAGTCATCTTATAAATTTAAATTTAAATCAAAATATTTGAGTATTAAAATGGTAGAACATGAAACGTTTGAATCTAATAATTTTTTGTCAAATACACTTTAATATTTGAATATAAAATATATAAGATGAAATTAATAATATTAATGAATATTTTGTTCTTACCAAATTTAAAAAGTAATTTTTCAAAATTAATTAACTTAATTATGATTATGATACTTGTCAATATAATATGATCTTTAATTTTAATAAAACGCATGTCTCTCACATGTACCCTTCACAAAAATGGAGGAAAGGCTTAATGAGGGGAGCCGGATCCCCGCCTAACATCAAGAAGATTCTGATGACTAGCACCACATAGCATATGCTATTTATGCATTATTCACTATAACACTATTATTAACTTTAATAACTACTTCTTTATTTCAATTGTTTGTTTTATTTTTTTAATCTATTTAAAAAATGATGCTTTTTTTATTAAAACAATTCTTTAATTAATTTTAATCTTTTACATGATATGCCTTAAGTTAAATGATATTTTTGGTACATTCTTCATATTTTAAATTTAAAATCACAAATTTAAAAGTCTTATTTATTTTCTTAATTTTTGTATTAAGTCAAAACAAACAAACAAATTAAAATAGAGGAAATATATAGTCCCTCCGTTTACTTTTACTTGTCCACTATTTCAAATATAAATTAACTTTTAACATACAATTTTTTTAAAAAAAATATATGTTTTACC